TATTTTTTCAATTTATCCATCTTAGAAATTAAATCTCTATAAATAGTTTAATTGTGGTTTTTTGGAATCAAGATTGATGCCCGAGGACATTCTTTAACTGACTTTACTGATCAGTGGAGGTCCAAGTCTGAGTTGTTTAAATTATCTCTGTATTCATTCCAGAATTCTCTCCTGCCCCTTCCTCCACAGTGTCAGCTTCAGGAACTGAGGGACCTCAGTGTTGTGACAGCCCCTTTGGCCCTTTGTCTAGTTCACAGTCTATGACGTCATAGGGGCTACATTAGATTTTACCACTTGTGTATTTCGTGAATACATGAAGATGAAGAGCGGGGCCAACACCCAGTTGGAGCCACAAAGAAAGACGAAGAGACTTCAAGTCACTTTGGGTCCCTCTCTTCTGTCTCCTCCTGTGTTTGTTGCTGTTTTACATGGTCTGGGGTGTGTGAATCAGGAGACTACTGCTAGAGATCAGAATGTGACTGACTTCTCAAGGGTAAATAGAACCCTGGGAGAGATAGAGGCTGAAATCCAACACTTAGTAAGGAACTGTTAATGTTAATATTATAATCATGTGGTCAAGAAACAAAAACCCTGTGCTCTTACATGTTCACAAAATAATTTCACATCTAAGTGACTGAGAGATTTAATTACTGTTTACTTCAACTGAGGACACTGATGTATACTCCTTGCAAAGATCAGAGTACCCTTTGATCCGTGCATTGTTAGTTCATAGATTTGCTTTCCAAACACTCGTCCTATACTTCTGTCACAGCTGCATTTCAGGATGGAATAGATGCAGCGTATGTGCCTTTGTGGTTTCCTTTAGCCTCTTGCCTTTCTGTTTTGGCTGTGAGAAGATCCAGATACTGTTTTCCTAGTCCTGGGATGAGAGAGTCGTGCAGAGCAGAGCTGAGTTCAGATCTTAGAGGCTAGTGTAAGCCAAGCAAAAGGGCCGCATCTTTGCAGCTTGTTTGTCACAGCCTGGAGGACTGAATCCTGGATGCTGTAAGCCACGGCAACACTGGGGCTCTTAGCAGCTATGGTAAGGATTGATGAATCTGCCAACTTCCATCTTTTCTTCTCTACCTTTCTGTTGTTTTTATTTTCACACATTTGTCTGAATCACTTTTAGAACATGGAACATATTTTTTGAGCATCTCCAGTGGTAGCCTTGAGGATAATTGGGGGCAAACCAATTACTGAAAATAAATAAAAAATCATCAGGAGCCTAGTCTAGTGAATTAGATGAGTGATCAACATCTGCATACAGCTTCAGCCTAAAAAAATATACATAAGTAATAAAAATAGCTTTCCTTCATGGATCATAAGAAGTCCCAAAGGGTGTTTCAAAAATGATTTGGTTTGGCTCATTTGAACATGTATAATCTCCCATACTGCTGTAATTTTATTGTTATTTTATTACAAGTAGCACACTCTCTGACTCATTTAGCAGTCTGAGTAAGCCTATCTGCCGTCTGTCGCTTTGTCCAGCCAAATGTTTGTGTATCTGAAAGGGGGCTGTCTCTGAACCAAAGCCTTGTGCTAATAAGTACAACAGGAAAATGGTGAGATTATTTCAGGGTCTTCCTAACACAGGGCTAAACCAAGGATAAAGACGGTGAAGGATGTCATCCACATAGCTCCTCTGGGTAGCCAAGAAGGCTGCTCACAGGCAGCCAGTGGAAGCTTGGAGCATTGAACAGGAGCAAACGACTGGATGAGGAACCATCTGAATATGCCAGCTGAACGACACCCTTTGTTGCTTGGATGTGGTTACAAAGACCTAAAGTTGCACTGGGCATGGGGAGGTGCACC